CACAGATCCCTAGGGCACCACACTGGAGACCTCCTCCCAAGTAGACACTGAACCATTAATAACTACTCTTTGAGTCCAGCTATTCAACCATGTCTACATCCAGTTATTTGCACTATCATCTAGTTCACATCTCACCATACTTTCTACATGATCTATATGATACTTTTTACATGAAAAGTAAGAGACTTTTTCAAAAACTCTATATGATACCTACAGCATTCCCCTGACCTTCCAGTCTAATAACCCTGTCAAAAAAGAAAATGAGGTTAGTCTGGCATGACGTATTCTTGCTGAAGTCATGCTAGTTTGTTATGATCATGGCTTCCTTTTTCAGATGTTCACCAGCCATCTCTTTTAATGAATCATTCTAGAATTCTGCCAGGAGTGAAAGCCAAGCTATCTAGCCTATCATCTTATACTTCTGTTACAGACTCTTTGAAAGTCCAAGCATCTGTCCTCTCCAGTCCCACAGCACCTCTCCTGTTTCCTACAATCTTTCAAACATTCCTGATAGTGGCTCAGCCATCCCATCTGCCAGTTCTTTTGGTATCTGAGGATGTAGTCCACCTGGGAGAGGTGACTTGAATTCATCAAAGGCAAGAAGGAAGGAAAGCAGGAAAGAAGTAAGGAAGGAAGGAAGGAAGGAAGGAAGGAAGGAAGGGAAGGAAATAAGCACTTATTAAGTATCTACTTTGTGCCAGTCACTGTGCTAAGTCTTCAGAAATATTATCTCATTCAATCCTCACAACAACCCTAGGAAGTAGGTGCCATTATTATTCCAATTTTAAAGTTGAGGAAGCTGAGGGAGACAGAGGCTAAGTGAGTCATGCTGAGGATCACACAGCTAGTAAGTAGCTGAGGTAGGATTTGAACTCAGGTCTTTCTGACTCCAATTCCAATACTCTATCCAGTTGCCTTGATGAAAGGATCATTTGATGTTTTAGAAATTATAATATTAGAGCTCTGGCCTTGAAGTCAGGAGGACCTGAGTTCAAATCCGGCCTCAGACACTTGACACTTACATTTACTAGCTGTGTGACCTTGGGCAAGTCACTTAACCCCACTGCCTCACAAAAAAAAAAAAGAAAGAAATTATTAGGAGGGAAAGTCAGAAGCAAAGGTCTAAGCTCAGAGGTAAACTATCTTTGAGAATCCTAAGAGTCTCGGGGAAAATAAAGAATCCTTCACATAAATAGCATAAAGCCAAGAAGACAACTTTCCTTTTGGCCTTGCCTCAGAATCACAAATAATAAACACATTCAGATCTTACTCACAATTAGGTGAAAATATTCATTGTGAATTACCAATCTCCCACTGGGCAATTCTCGACACTCTGTTTTTGGTGTGTATAGTTCACACCAATCAATTAATCAACAAGCACTTATTAAGTAATTACTATGTGCCAGGCACTGGGCTAGGCCCTGGGGACAAAAATCCGAAGAATGAAACAACCCCTACTCATGAGGAGCATACATTCTAATGGTGAGACAATGTATATTACATACACACACGTATATACATAATAAATATACATGTTGAATGACTACGAAACAAAGAAAAAGTAGTTAAGTACAAGGCAGTTTGGGAGGAAGAGCACACACTAGCAATTGGGAGTGTCATAAAAGGTTTCAGCTATGTCTTGAATGAAGAGAGAAGCTTTGTGAGTTGGTGATGAGGAGGGAGCACGTTTCGGGCATGGCAGAGGAGGGGTGCAGCCAGAACAAAGGCAAAGAGCCTTGAGATGGCGGGTCAAGTGTGAGGAAGGGAGAGGACAGTTTGGCTGAACTGTGACATGCAGGAAGAAGAGTGAGGCTGGAAAGAGAGGTTGGGGCCAAGTTACAAAGGGCTTTAAAAGCTAAACAGAATAGTTTCTGTTTGATCCTAGAGGCAATAGGGAGTCAACTGACTCACTGGAGTCAGTTGAGCAGGGAAGTCACATGGTCAGATGACATATACACAGGATGAGACCAGGAAAAAACAAGCTATTCATACAAGCAGGTGGTTTGGACTTTTTAGTGTGTCCCATCAGGTCACTTAAAACTGATAACCTTGTTTAATTTAAGTTCCCTGAGGGCAGGTGCTGGTTCACGTTTGTTTTGATGCCCCCAACACTGAGTACAGTGCCTTGCACATAGGGAGAAAGCCTGGCCCTGTGATTTCACTAGGATAGGGAATTCCTGTTGAGGGTTCTTTCTGCCAGGGGAGATCATCTGTAGCTTAGCTGTACAGAGTTGCCTGAGGGACACTGAAAAGTTAAGTGACTTGCCCAGGGTCACACAGCCATTACTGGAGGCAGGATTTGAAAGTAGGCCTTCCCAACTCTCAGGCCAACTCTCTAATCACTATGGCACACTGCTTCTCAAATGTTTCTTGATTGACTGACTGCAAAATCTTGAGTAGGAGACTCTATATTGGGGAAAACCTACACAAAATCCCAGTACAGATTCTAATATATCTGTAGTTTCTAACAGACAAAAGTCTGGGATAATAAAAAAAAATGGTTATTAAACAGCCCAGTTACTTCTGCATTCACAAGTCTCTCCTTCTTGATGTTTTTGGCCAACAATTAGCTTCAGCATCTCCCAAAGGAGTGCAGAATGATGTTTTCCTGCTACAGATCTATGACAAAGAAAGTCACAGATAACTGGACACTGATTCTGCTTGTTAGCAAAATTGGAAAGGAATGCTAAATTGACTTTCCTAATTAAGTGACTTCTCACTGTTGGTTGGAGACACTGGGTATTGTAATTTACTAACATCTTACAATTTTCAGCCAAAATATGAGAACTGATCTGGCATATTATACTCCTGATTGTATACATTAATATATTTGGCAATTTTAAGCATTTATTTGTACACATACATATACGCTCGAGCACTGCTTCTCACATATTCTGGCAAGTCGTTAAACCTCTCAGTGTCCTAGGCAACTCTCTGACACTGTAAGTTACAGGGTAGGTGCCCATCTCCATTGATAGAAGGAGCTCCCTTGCTAGGAACTACCTCTACTAATTAAATTGCAGGTCTAGTTTGAAAAAAAAATGTACATCTACACGAAGGACAACATGGTATAGTGGATAAAGAGTTGGCCCTGGAGTTGGGAAGACCTGGGCAAGTGACTTAACCTCTCAGCGCCCCAAAAGGGCAGCTCTCTGAAACTTTAGGTTCCATAAGAGGTGTAGAGCTACCCTGGTGGAGAGAGCTTCCTATCCCCAAGAAATCATGGTCCAATTCAACATCATGGTCCATGGACCATGAAATGCTAGTCCAAAATCAACACATATGCACTTGCATAGATGGATATAATTTCAAAGGATAAAAAGCTATTACTTGAGCGTTAAGGGGCTAACCTGCAAGACCCAGAAAGGATAGGGTTCATCTAGGTCCAATGTGATCATTGCAAAATGGGAAGAGGACATGGACGCTGCTAGAAATAGCAACCAGCTCCAATATTCCATGGAGCCTTTCACTAAAGGGTTAGTTCACGACTGCTGTATTCTGCAAGCTTATTACACTCCAGAGATCTTTTCACCAACCAAGCCATCACTTCCCAACAGCACACACTGGTGTGTTTTGACAGACAGGAAGTCGTTTTCATAATAATCATTACTCTAAGCTCCTACTAAGACAATCAGGCTTAAACTTCCTGAGTGGAGTTTACAGCAACCATGCAAAAGTTGAGAAGAACTCATTTCTCTTATTTATTTATTTCTCATGACCGTAGTAAAATCAGAAATATAGCTGGGGGCTTTTTTGTTGGTTGATTTGTTTATAACTAATGGCCACATTTCCACTGTGAGCTAACTAATTTCACCATTCCTGAAATAAAATAGCAGTGTTACTCCAAACAGCAAAGTGATAAGGGCTGGCTTCTCTCCCGCCCCCCCCCCACTCCCCAAATTAGTCCTTGTTTAACAGGGGTGCAATCCCATTTTTTCCCCCTGAGAAAGGACATGGCTGAACAATCTATCACTGGGGTTGCTCACCCCCCTCCAGAAACATTCACATCACGGCAGAGACAGCCAGCTAGTGAATAGGTGTTCTGAACATGGCCTGTGATCCCAATGAATTCGAGTCTGTCACACAGATCTCAGCAAAATTAACTACGATATTAGTGAACACACTATTAGCATGAATTAAATGGCATTTGGAAGCAAAAATCCAAAGACTTTCAAGTCCTAGGAAGCATGGGGCCAATTATTTTGTTGCTTTCATTGGAGATTTCACTTGCTTTTTAATCAATGAGAGCCAAGTTTTTAATTACCAGAAATATAAAAATGGAAAATGGAGCCTCGAAAAGCTGTCGATAAAAGACCACCAGTGAGTGCCTGGGCTCAGCAATATTAACCCTGGATGAAAATGAGATTTTCCAGAATTAGTAAATGGAACTACCCCACACAGACACTGAATGAAAAGGTGAACATTGGATGCAGAATTGACTCTGCGGGAACAGTGTTAACGTAAGAAAGATGAGATCCAGACATGAGCTTGGGCTGAGGAGCTCACTATCCAATTTGATCATGCTGGGATGCTGAAGAGAAATTTGATTGTCCTGTTCCTAGGAAAGATGAAATCTGTTTATTGTGCCAATGACATTGAATCATGCAGCCAACTTTGGAGACATTTTTTTGGTCCAGTCCAAAAAAGTAGATTGAGTACCCATGAAAATTATTTCTGGGATATTATAGTTCTGCCTGCATTGCAACATGGCCGTGGGATTTTGCTGCCAGGTTATCAGCAGAGCTTTCCCTTCAACAAAGAGACTAATATGTCAGTTACTGAGTTTTACTTCCTCTCTAAGTAAATGAGGATGACATCCAGTATCAAGTGGAATTGGTGGATGCCATGGAAATCAATGGAGCTGGGCATAAACCAAGCTGTTTACTTGGAACACAGCCCTAAGTTGCAAATTTCGTCTAGCTCTAAATACTAAATAACCTACCAGCAAGACAAAATAATAGACAATAATATGACCATTTCCCTGATGCTCCCAAATGTACCTGGTCTCCCAGGACGACCTCGAGGCCCAGGGTTCCCTTTGAGACCTTCTCGATTTTGACCTGGAGAGCCAGCAGGACCTGGGGGCCCTCGTATGCCAGGGAAGCCAGGATAGCCCCGTTCACCTTTTGGGCCTTGAGGGCCAGGCTTTCCTGGAGTGCCTGGTGAACCTTCATCACCCTTCTCACCTATGAAAATGAAAGAACAAGATTATAGTGCAAATTACAATTACAGATTAGAAATTATTTCAGGTACAAAATATTCATAATCAATAGGCTGGCACTTTGGGGACTTTATCAGCATTCCTGGATTTCATATCTACCTGACCCTATAACTCACTCTCTCACAGAGTCATAAGAGTCAGACTTGGAAAGGACCTCAGTGACCAGCTAGGCCAGCCAATGCTTCCACCCCCAACAACATACCTGACATGTGCCTGAATACCTCCTGGAAGGAAGAACCTACCAATTTCTGAGGCAACCCATCCGCCCTTTGGATAACTCAGAATGCTAGCAAGGTTTTCCTGACAACAAGCTTATGTTAGGCCCTTCTTCTCCCCACTGCTGCCGGTTCTGCCCTCTGGGCCAAAAAGGACAAGTCTAATCCCTTCTCCATATAATAACCCTTCAAATATCTGAAGCCTGCTCTCTTTTTCCTCCTGAAGCTTCTCTTCTCTAGGCTAGATACCCCCATTCCTTTGATTGATCCTCATATGACATGAACTCAGGGCCTTTCACCAGAGAAGGTCATCCTCCTCTGGATGCTCTCCTTCCTAAAGGTCTGAACATAATACTCAAAATTTGGCCTGGTCAAGGTATAAAACTACGAGACTATCGCCTTCTTACTCATGGAAGCCAGGCCTCTCTTAAAAGCCCAAGATCCCATTAGATTTAACAACAATAACAATAATAACCACACGTGCAACTTGAATCTGTCATCTCTCTCTCAAGAGGTGAGCAGCATGCTTCATTATCGATCTCTGGGAATTATGAGGTTCTACTTCACACTCATTTTGGCAAAAAATGACAAATGTTGGAGGGGCTGTGGAAAAACAGGCCCATTAATGCACTGTTGGTGGTCCTGTCAATTGGTATAGCCAGCCACTCTGGAAAGCAATTTGGAGCTATACCCCAAAAGTGACTAAACTATGCTTACCTTTTGACCCAATAATACCACTATTAAGTCTATATCCCAGAGATCAAAGAAAAAAGAAAGGATCCTTATACATAAAAATATTTTAGCAGCTCTTTCTGTTGTTTCGAAGAACTATAAACTAAGAGAATGCCCACCATTTTGGGAATGGCTGAATAAATCATGGCATATGAATGCAATGGAATATTACTATGCCATAAGAAATGATAAAAGGCATGGTTTTAGAGAAGCCTGAAAAGACTTGTAAGAAATGATGCAGAATGAAGTGAGCAGAACCAAGAGAACGACAACACTGTAAAGACACACAACTTTGGAAGACTTAATCATTCTGATCAATGCAATTTAATTCTTGAGAGTTTCCCAGTCCTCCTGGCCCAATTTCAGTGGTAAAATGTTGGTCCACGGAATTGGTCCACCTTCTTCTCCACAACTGTACACCTGCCGCGAGGTTACAACAACCAGTTCTTCCCTGTTGACAAGAATCAGATCTAGAAGAGAATTTCTTCCAGTTGCTCCAACTTCAACCTTACCAGGAAATCCTGGGATTCCTGGAGGTCCTGGGAATCCAAATCCTGGTTGACCTGCCATGACACAACAACAACCCCCCCACCCCCACCCCGGCCCAAAGGATTAATGACACAACTCAGAACAACTGATTTCGAGATTATTTTACATTTCAACCCACAATGAATTCCCTATTTAAATCCTAAAGTGACAGGAGCACTCCTCTGACAAAAACATCCTTCTTGTACCCAGTATTTGAACTACCTGATTGAGGTAAAAAGATCTGGACAGTTTTATATCATGGAAAGAAGATAGTTTGATGGACAAAAGTGAGACATAACTCCATAAATGGAGTAGAAGATGAATATGCAGGGAAATAACATTAAGGGGGGTACATGGAGACTTTAGCATGGTTGATTTCAGCAAGGCAGAGGGAGGCAATGGGGTAAAAAGAGGTGGAATGTTGTGGTATGTTTGCAAGGAAAAAGTCATAAAGGTGAATAGGAGATGCGTAGAGAGAAAATACCTTACCTGGTTCACCCTTCTGTCCAGGTGGCCCAGGAATTCCATCTTGACCAGGTTTCCCTTTCTCTCCTGGAGATCCTGGGGAACCAGGATGGCCCTGACTGCCTATAGAACAAGAACCAAATATTGTAAGTTACAAAAGCAATAAGCAATAAGCTTTCCAATAAGCAATCCCCTGTCTTCCCACAGTCCCCCTCTTATCATATAACCTTTGACCCTCACCACCTAAAGTGACAAAGTCACATAAAACTTCTCCCCAAAATCATCTCTGGAAATAAAACTGCCCCAAATACCAAGGGCCAAATCAGAGAATGCTATCCTGAGTCTTTAATTTTGAGGCTGGCTCTGGGATATGTATGTGGGGAGGGGAAGGCGGGGGGAAACTGTGAGGGGACTGATTTGCTCGAGCCAGATTCTGCAGGTGGGGAACCCTAAGGCCCAAAGAAAGGGAGAACCCTTTGCTAGCAACTGTCAAACAGCCAATCCTGGGCCATCCTTTCAGAAATTCAGCTACAGAATGGCTGCCAATTGAGCTCCAAAGATAATCATCCATAATGGTAATAGTCTGAAATAGCTTTGTGAGAGAGTACACTCTGTAGCTAGAACAAGAACTTGGTAACTGGTCACTTTGCCTCTACTTCTTGAAAAGTAATATCCCATGCAGGAACCGGGCCCACCCAAAGGGAAGTTCAATCTCTGTAATTATGACATAACATCCTACTTACCTACAGGACCAGACTGTCCTGGGATACCAGGGCTGCCAGGTGGGCCATCCAGACCTTTGGGTCCAGGAAGTCCTGTAGTACCTGTGGAAAAGATCCTGAATTGAAAAGCAGAAGAAAAACAGTATTGCTTTGAGAGTTATGCTCCAGAATTAAAGTTTACAGAGTTGGTACAGAAACACAATGAAGAAAAGAAAGGATAAATATAAGGTGTTGGTGCTCATTGGGCATAGTTTTAGTTGTTTGGGGGGGATGATTTAAGATCGCAAATTCATTTGTTAGCATTGTGACACTCATAAACAAAGCAAAAAATTCTTAACACCACTGCACACCAGGCTTAAATCCATTTGCTCTGCAATATAGGAATTAGAAAAATAGATTTAGAAACTAGGCAGGCTGTCAATACAAATAACTCAGCCTACTGGGTGCCTTCAGTCTGCTAGGTTCAATCGGATGTGTTTCCAAAGTACATTGTCTCCTTTATTACTGGATCTAGTACATCCTAAAGGGAGTCAGGCCATCTTGGTTAAAAGGAAAGGTGCTAGAGAAGATTGCTGCTCTGCTTCCTTCTCTCTAGCCCAATGGTGGAAGAAGAAGCAACAAAACCAATAGAAAGGTCACATCTTTCAGAGGATCCCCACCCATTTGGCAAACAAAATGCTTGCTTTTCCACTACCATGACTTATGGTAGAGGTGTTGAAAGAAGGGGCCAGGTGGTCCAAATCTCTAAACGACAGTTGTTAGCTGCTTTAATGTATTCAAGCATGTCAGCCTCCTAGAAGGTATTTCTAGCTGATGCGCTGTCAAAATGGCTCATGGTACATCTTTAATACCACTAAAATTATATCTCTAAAGCCAAAAAATTTGCATTGTTTGCAGGTGTAAAGCGAGGCTGTTCCCTCTTCCTCTATTAGTTGACAAAGTTCTAGAAGTGCTAGTTGTAGCCATAAGAAAAGTGAGAAAAATTAATGGAACAGAAATCAGCAAAAAGAGGCCAAATAGCCCTATTTTTGGAGGATGGTTGACTTAGAAAACCCCAGAGAATCAGCAAAGAAACTAACGAGAAGATTAATAGTTTTAGTAAAGTAGGAGCATGCAAAATAAATCCACAAAACTCATCAGCATTTCTTTATAGTGCTAACAAAGACCAAGAGAAAACGATAGAAAGTAAAATTCCCTTCAAAATAATTACAGATTTCACAAGATATGTGAGAATTAACCTATCAAGACACTCACATAAATTGTATAAGTACAGTTTCCCAAGAATTCTTTGTCAATATAAGGATAAGACAAGAGTGGAACTGTGATTTCACTGGTATGGAAAACTCCCTGATGAGGAAATTCTCTTTACCAATACAGGTCAGCACCTTCTCTGTGATGTACAGTCTTGGAGAATTCCCTTAGAGCACTGAAAGGTTAAGTGACTTGCCCAGGGTCATGTAGTACATATCAGAGATAAGACTTGAACCCAGGTCTTTCTAGCTTCAAGGTTCTCTATCCATCATACAGTGCTGCCTCTCTACAGATATAAAGGAAGATAAATATTTGGAGAAATACTCATTGTTTGTTACTGGGTTGTGCCAACTGAGTACACATGACAGTATGACCTAAATTAATTTACAGATTTAGTACTATATAAAACTATCAAGAAGATACTTTATAGAACCAGACAAAATGATAACAAAATCCTTTGGAGGAACAAAAATCTAGAATCTCTAGGGAAATGATTTTAAAAAGCAGAAGTGAAGAGGGCTGAGCATTACCAGATCTCAAATTGTATTATAATGCAATAATCATCAAAGCTATTCAGTACTGCTTTAAAAGTAGAAAAGTAGATCAGTGGAATAGACTAGATGTGGGAGACTCAGAAACCACTGAATATAACACTGCAGTGTATGATAAACCCAAGGACACAAACTACTCAGGGAAAGATTCCTATTTGACAAAGACTACTTGGAAAACTAGAAAGCAATTGGCAGAAAGTAGGTTCAGATTATATCTAATAAACATAAAAGACCATATCATCATAAACAACACCCCCCACCCTCCAAAAATATAACTAGAGAATGAAAAGAGGTATCTTACACAATTATGGATGGGGGGAGAATTTGTAACCAAACAAGGAATAAAAGTGATCATCGATAAACCAGTCAATTTTGAATGCATAAAATATAAAAGCTTTTTTTGTTGTTTTTGGTTAAGCAATGGGGTTAAGTGACTTGCCCAGAGTCACACAGATAGTGAATGTTACGTGTCTGAGGCCGGATTTGAACTCAGATCCTCCTGACTCCAGGACTGGTGCTAAAAGCTTTTGCATGAATGAAATCAACACAGCTAAAATAAAAAGAGAAATTGTCAAGTAGGAAAAAAAATTGTTGTTGTTTATTGATCAGTTGTTTCAGTCATGTTTGACTCTTTATGACTCCATTTTGGGAGTTTTCTTGGCAAATATCCTGGAGTGCTTTGCCATTTCCTTCTCCATCTCATTTTATACATGAGGAAATTGAGGCCAACAGGGTGAAGTGACTTGTCCAGGGTCACACAACTAATGAGTGTCTAAGGCCAGATTTGAACTTAGGAAGATGAGTCTTCCTGACTCCAGGCCCAGCACTCTATCCACTGAACGCCACCTAGCTGCCCCAAGGGGGAAGAGGGAAATTTTGCATCAAATATTTCTGATAATATCAAAATCTATTATCCATACAACACAGACAACTGACACAAATGTATAAGACAACTGTGTGATCATGCACAAGTCAGTTAACTTCCCCAAGTTTTAGGCAACACTTTAAGACTCTGAGTTATAGATAAGTTGATGATATGCAGTGAGAGTTTACCATCTAATGAAATAACAGGTGTGGAAAAATATACATGCACATATATGTATTCCTCATATTTGTTGTTTCTTTTCTTGAATATATGAGAGGAATAGAGAACTGTCCTCAGAGTCAGGGAAACCTGGATCAAGTCCTGTCTCTGACATATATGTTACCCTGGGCAAGTCACTTAATTTCTCAGTGCCTCAAGCAATTCCACTACAAGCTGGAGAACAGTGTTGTGTTGATTGAGGGACTTTCCTTACCAGGACTTCCCTACAGAAATGAAATCACAAGTCTAGAACAAATATACTTGACGTATGATTTCCAGACTTATGGTTTCATTAATATCTGTACATACACACTATGTATGCATACTTGTCTTCCCACAGCTTCTCCAACATTGATCTGTTTTTTTCTAATTTGTTAGGTGCAAGTGAAAACTTAAAATTATTTTAATTTGTGTTTAATTATCAATGGTTTGGAACATTTTATATGGATATTAATAGTTTGCTTTTCTTCTTTTAAAAATCGTTGGTCATATACTTTGACCATTACCTTTTGAGGAATAGGCCTTGGAAGGGAGGGAGGGAGGGAAGGAGAAAGGGAGAGAGGTTTTATTGTACATGCACGCATGTGCGTGCATACATCTGCGCACGCGCACACACACACACACACACACACACACACACACACACACACACAAATGTCCCAAAAGTCTTAGTGCAGTTTAAAGCTGTTATTATTTGAGTTTATTAAGCTTCTATACTAAGATTTTTGAGATACCCAGTACATAGAACTGATCTTAGAAATACCTGTAAAGACTGAACCACTCTAAAACAACAGTGATCAGAGGATCTGAGCAAAGAGTCTTCAAAAGAAGAAAAGGAAACTATTGACAGTCATATGAAAAATACTATAAATCACTAGTAATAAGGTAAACACAAGTTTAAAAAATTCTGAGTTTTTACTCATACCCATAAAATTGTGAAAGATGGAAAAAAGCAGAAATAGTCAACATTGGAGAGGTCATCGAAATACTGGCATGTGAATACACTGTTGGTGGAGCTGTAAACAGATCCAACCATTTTGGAAAACAATTTGGAATTATGTGAAAAAGTCACTAAACTCACTAAAGTCACTCAACTTTGACCTAGTGATCCCACTACTGGACATACACAGTAAGATGGGCCCTCAAATACCAAAATATTTGGAACAGACTTTTTGTGGAGGCCAAAAATTGGAAACAATTCACTAGTAAAAGATGAAAAAAGTTGGAAAATGGAATTTGTGAAGGTAAAGGGATAGCTTTGCTCTGTGAGAAATGCCAAGAAAGTTGCTTGGGGCCCTGGGAGGTTAGGTGTCTAGCAATTCTCTAAAACCAAAAGTTACAGAACAACTGAGCTACACTGGTAGAGGGATTACCACATTGGGAGTTCCTCATACCAATGAAATCACAGCTTCAGTCCAGAAAACAAAACAAAACAAATCAAAACAAATAGCAAATATGAGGAATTCAGAGAAACGTAAGAAGACTGGCATGAACTGATGTAAGCAGCCTCAGTAGAACCAAGAGGACAACACACATAGGGACTCCAATAATACCAATGGAAATAATAATGAGTTAACACTTATTAAGCACCTCCTATGTGCCAAGCACTGCACTAAGTGCTTTACAGATGAGGAAACTGAGGCAGACAGAGGTGAAGCGACTTGCCCAGGATCACACAGCTAGGAAGTGTCCAAGGCTGGATTTGAACTCAGGTCTTCTTGACCCCAGGACTAGCAACCCATCCACTGTGACACCTAACTGCACCAGACTCCCTTTTGGTGGTATATATCTATATCTATCTATATCTATATATCTCAATAACAAATCTTAGTCGGAGAGAATGGATGATGAATTCAGCATGCTTCCGTTCTCTCAATGGACAGGTAGAGCACTGGAGAAGCGGAATGGTTCTGCTTAATTGCTCTTCTTTGTTATAACAGAGGGTTCAAAGTGAAGGGAGATACACTGAGAAATGATTAGAGGGTAAAAAAAAAAGGTACATACTAAGTCTTTTTTCTTTTTTTCCCCATGAAATCAGATTCAAAAGTTAAGGGACTTGTTTATTGTCAGTACCAGTGAAGTCAGAGAAATATGTTTCAGAGTCAAGAGCTCAGTGATGGTCCAGGCAGCCATACTGCCGGGGAAGTGAAGCAGCCAGCGCTGAACACAGCCAGCATGAAGGGAGCCGATAATAAGATAACTCAGTCTCAGTTCTTTTACTCAAGTCACTCAACCGTTTGTTAGCTGAATGAACTGGGCCGCCACTGTGCCATCACCACCCATTGGGTTCCTATGTACCGGTGGCAAACTTTCCAAGGGAACCAGAAGCAGGACAGGGCTCAGCTGTGAATATTATCACCTATGAAAATAGTCAGGCTCCTTAATTGGCCTGCAGCTAGCAGTCCAAATTGGAAAGTAGTATAAACCAACTGTCTTGCAGGTCTCAGAATCTTCCCCTGCTGAGCTGCTGGGGCCCTTCTCCATTCTGCAAGAAATGCAGCTCAGAAAAAAAGAAAGGGAAATGGCCGGCACAAAGTCGATATCAGATCTGGGGGTCGGATCCAAGCACCAGGCAAATAAAACAGATTATCTCTGTCTCTTGATTTTGCCCAAGAGCCAGCAGCAAGAGGCAGGGGAAAAGAGGAAGGAACGGAAGAAACCTGGGCTGCTCAAAAATTAGAATTAAAAGAGAAAAATGTTACCTGGCCATCCGGGAAAGCCTGGCCGTCCTTTTACCCCAGGGCTCCCTGGAGCACCAGGCAAACCAATATCTCCCAGGGCACCTTGAGTGCCAGGAGTACCTGGGTACCCAGGCAGGCCAGGATCACCCTGGAAATATAAACAGAAAGACATAACAGTAGCATTGCTTACATTTTCCAGAGTCTTAGCACATTATAATGCGATCCTTCCTTGGCAGGGTAGCCTGTCTCCCCAGATGGCTCTACCATGCAAAGACACATGTTTTCTGATGTTGTATTCTGCTTTATCCTCCCTCGTTCAGATACTGTTTAAAAGCTGATCCAATCCTTCAAAAGCCCACCTCGAGTCCCAGCCCCTTCAGGAACTCTTCCTTGACAAATGTGGCTCAACCCAAGTCTCCCTCGCCCTTTCCTGATGGATGATATCCCTACACCACGTTCTGGGAGCTAATTATGCTGCCTAGTTCCATCTTCTAATTGCTTCATGTATGTAAGTCTCGTCTCCCCCAACTAGACCATAAACTTCTTGTGGTCAGGGACCAAAGTGAGCTTCCTTTGTATCTCTCTCCATGCTGGACAGCACAAGAAATGCTTAGTGAATACTTGTTGGCTTCAAGTCTCCATAGATCAGCTTGGAATAAATCATCTGATAATTCTTGTTACTAAGGAAACAATCCAATTTAGGTACCCAAGTACAAGGCAGAAGAGAAAATTGGGACGTATCACTAGCAAGAAGATTATACTCAGTAATGGGACACTGAAATGTAGAGATTCAACCTCTCATTTTGGCCATTCTAATTTCCATAAGCCCTCGCTCTCTCCCCCCTCCCCATTCCTACCCCCACGAATGCCAACCAACCCCAAACAAAATCAAGCATCTATTTTTCATACCAGGGTTTTGAAGAGGAATCAAAATTCCGTGGCTTGCATTTTCATCTTTTCTTACCATTGTCCATGTTGCTAAGGCACACGGAGCTGAGAGGTCATGAAAATCCCAAGGGACATGCATCCTGACCCAGTCACTCTCGAGCCACGCACTAAGAATTCTGCTCTTGACTCGGTGGGCCCAAGGGCAGGACTTTACATATGACCCTGTACATTTTCAACTTCTTTGATACCGTGCAGTGTTCTAGGCTGCTGAGCTCTTCCTGGAACCTGACTTGGTCATCTAAGACATCAGTAATCTATGTGATGACCAGCACCTGCAGTCTCCCCCATATGCTGTCTCCCCCAAGTAGAACGTGAGATTCTTGGGAACAGGGACTGATCTGCCTTCCTATTTGGATTCCAGGGTGCAGGATAGTGTTTGGTATACAGCAAGTACTTAATAAATGTTTCATTCGCTTGTTCACTCATTCGGTATGCTGTCATTGATAAAAATATCTAACTGAAAAAGACCAATCAGAGGCAATGGTGATCCGGTGAAGGAAATACTGAGTTAGGAGACCTAACAATTCACCTCCGCTCCATGGGACTCAGTTTCCTCATCTGTAAAATCACTAGATGGTCTCTGAGATCCTTTCCAGCCATAGATTTATGATGCTATATAAACACCACCACCCACCGCCACCAACAATAACATTTATATAGTGTTTACTATGGGCCAAGTACTGTGCTAAGTGCTTTACTATGCTTATCTCATTTGATTCTCAACAACAACCCTGGTGGAAGGTGCTATTATTATCCCCATTTTTTTTTACAGCTGAGGAAACTGAGGCAAACAGGGTCAAGTGACTTGCCCAGGGTCACACAGCTAGTAAGTGTCTGAAACTGGATCTAAACTCAGGACTTCCTAACTCCAGGCTCAGTGTTCTTTCTTAGCTGCCCATGTGACCTTGGGCAAGTCACTTCCCTAACCTGGGCCTCAATGTCCTCATCTGTAAAATGTAGGAGTTGAACTAGATGGTCTCTGAGGTCCCTTCTGGTTCTAAAACTTTGACCCTAAGATCCTATGAACTCACTGTGCAACTTGGGGCAAGTCACATAAGCTTTCTGAGCCTAAAGCTCACGTCTGACCATATCACTCCCCTCCCCCAATCATTTCCAGTGGCTCCCTACTACCTCTTGGATCGAATATAAACTCTACATATCACTCCCCTCCAGGCACTCTAGGGTCCAGCCTTCTTCCTGTTCCTCAAACAAGCCACTCTCATCTCTTACCTCTGGACCTTTGCATGGGCCAGCCACCATACCCTCCTTACACCCATCTCTTAGAATCCCTGGCTTCCTTCAAGATTTTCCTCAAGCACCACCGTCCACACAAACCCTTTACTGCTTCCCCAGTGCCTTCTCTTCCCAGGTTTCCTGGTATCTAGTTTGTATGTATGTAGTACACGCCTGTGTACATGCATTGTGTCTCCCCCAACAGAATGCAAACTCCTTGGGGCAGGAACTATTTTTACTTTGTCTTTGCGCCTCCCCAACACCCAGTACAGTGCCCAACACAGTAGGTGCTTAATAAATGCTTACTGACTGGACTGGAAGATCACTAAGGTGGCCTCCCTCTAGGCTGACATCAATCATCAGTGGGAATACTCATTCAGCCAGTTCAAAAGCCACCTGATTGCAATAACACCCAGTTGGAATCATTCCGTTTTGCCCATAGGAATATAAAAGACTTTTATCAAAAGCCTTGTGGACATCCAGGCATTGCCCTGGATCTGCCAAGACCCAGTATCTCCGATAAAGACAGAGGAGAACAAAGGATAGAGAGTGCTGGACCTGGCGTCAGGCTAGGCCAGGGTTCGAATCCTGCCTTGGACACTTACTAGCTACATGATCCCGGATAAAGCACTTCTTCCCTTGGTGCTGTTCCTCAGTCATTTCAGTCATGTCTGACGCTCCATGACCCCATTTGGGGTTTTCTTGGCAAAGATACTGGAATGGTTTGCTATTTCCTTCTCCAGTTTATTTTACAGATGAGGAAACTGAGGCAAACAGGGTGAAGTGACTTGTCTGGGGTCACACAGCTAGGAAGTGTCTGAGGCTGGATTTGAACGCAGGTCTTCCTGATTCCAGGTCCAGCGCTCTATCCACTGAGCCGTGTAGCTGCCCTTCAGCTGCCTAGGCCTATGTAAAACAAAGGGCTTGGATTCTTTTTTTTTGTTTTCATCTCCCTAGGCCTATACTAAACAAGGGGCTTGGATCCGACAGCTTTTAAGGTGTCTTCTAGCCCTAAATCTAGGTTCCCATGATTCTCTGCTCATTTACTCCCCCAGATGCACCTGGCTTGCTATAACTGGCTCCTGCCAATGACCATTGTGTTTTGCAAAGATAACTACAAAACAGCTGTTTAATCATCCTTTGGAGAACATTTGTAGGGGCCGATGTAAAGTTTGCTGGGAAAATCTGCACACTCTTTTGTTCACCTTTTTGAAAATTGCTCCAACGCTCTGCTGTCTGCTTTCTCATTTCGCCCCACTTCCTCAAAGCTCCCTGACTGTTGGGTCAGCAATGAGCCCTCTGGATTCTTTCAGGGGCTTGGAATGCAGGCGACCTAAACTCATTTAATGCAATCCCACTATCTCCTCACCCAGCCCTGGCTTCAATTGCCTCTTAGCTGAGTCTGTTCTACTATCTGCAATCTGAATATCATTCTCTTTATGGAGGAGTAGGAAACAAAAGGGCTGAGTGGTTCTGTTTTTCTTTGTTCTCTGGCTAAAAGCAGCTCTGTGGCAGAGGAGACGGCTGGACTTATCGGGCCTCGGATACTACCTTGTGGCCCTGGGCAAGCGTCCTGCCCTCCAGTCTCACACCTTCCACTGCTTTTTGGACGTACTGAGCTGGGTGTTTTCTGAAACTCAGCATTCCCTAAACTGAACTCATTATCTTTCCCCTCAAAGCTTTCCCTCTGAATAAAAATGATAATGCACTAACTAGCATTTATATAGCATCTACCATATGCCAGGTACTGTGCGAAGTGCTTTACAAATATTAGCTCACTTGATCATTATGATAATCCAAGGTTGCTCGTATTGAGTTGTTTCAGTTGTGTCTAACTCTTTGGGACCTCATTTGGGGTTTTCTTGGCAGAGATAATGGAGTGGTTTGTGATTTCCTTCTCCAGCTCATTTTGTAGATGAGGAAACTGAGGCAGACAGAGTGAAGTGACTCGCCTAGGGTCACACAGCTAGTAAGTGTCTGAGGCTGGATTTGAACTCAGGTCTGCCTGACACCAGGGCCTGGCACACTGTCCACTGAGCCACCTACCTGCCCTGATAATCCTGGGAGGTAGATACTATTATTATCGCCATTTTTACAGTTGAGGAAACTGAGGCAGACAGTGGTTAAGTGACTTGCCTGAGTTCACACAGCTAGTAAGTTTATGAGGAAGGATTTGCGCTCAGGTCTTTGTCACTCCAGGCTCAGTGTTTTATCTCTCAATGTGACTCCTAGAAAACTTCCAAACTTCCCCATTACTGTCACCCAGTCACCCAGGCTCGAAATCTAGGTGTTATCATCGACTCCTCTCTCTCACTCCCATATAAAATTTGTGTCAAGTTCTCTCAATTTTATCTTCTTAATCTCTCTCAAATATGCTCCCTTCTCTCCTCTGACACTGCCCCCACCCTGGTGCAGCCCCTCATCACCTCCCACTTGGACCATTCCAATAGCTGCTGGTGGGTCTGCCTGCCACAAGGCTCTCCCCACTACTGCAGTGGCCGCTGGTGGGGCTGCCTGCCACAAGGCTCTCCCCACTACTGCAGTGGCCGCTGGTGGGTCTGCCTGCCACAAGGCTCTCCCCACTACTGCAGTGGCCGCTGGTGGGGCTGCCTGCCACAAGGCTCTCCCCACTACTGCAGTGGCCGCTGGTGGGTCTGCCTGCCACAAGGCTCTCCCCACTACTGCAGTGGCTGCTGATGGGGCTGCCTGCCACAAGGCTCTCCCCACTACTGCTTCCCTATCCCCTCCAGGAACAAATGCAAAATGTTCCACTTGGCATTCAAAGCCCTTCGTAAATTAGTTCCCTCTTACCTTTTCAGTCTTCTTATACCTGACCCCTGACACATACTCTGTGATTCAGTCACACTGGCCTCCTGGCTATTCCTCAGACAAGACTCTCCACCTCTCAGCTCTGGGCATTTGCACTGGCTGTCCCCCCTGACGGGAGTGCTCTCCCGCCTCACCTCCACCTCCTGGCTTCCTTTAACTCCCTACCAAATCGCACCTTCTACAAGAAGTCTTTTCCCAACCCCTTGTCTCTGTTGCTAATCTCCAATTTATCCTCTAACAAACTTGTTTGTATATTACTTGCATGTTGTCTCCCCCATTAGACTGAGGGCTCTCTGGGAGTAGGGATTGCTTTTGGCCTTTTTTTGTATCCCTAGCACTTAGCACAGTGCATGACACATTTGGTGTTCACTCTTTTAGTTGGGTCCGACTCTTTGTGACCCCATGACCATACTGTCCGTGGGGTTTTCTTGGCAAAAATACTGGAGTGATTTGTCATTTCCTTCTCTGGTGGATTAAGACTAACAAAGGTTAAGTGACTTGTCCAGGGCCACACAGCTAGTAAGTGCCTGAGGCTAGATTTCATCTCGGATCTTCCTGACTTCAGGCCCAGAGCTCTAGCCACTGTGCCACCTAGCTGCCTTCCTGGCACATAGCAGGCTCCAAATGATCCGTGTCACAACCTTCAAGAACCACTGCTGTGGGCACTTAATTAATGTTGAATTGAATTTTTGAGAAATATTGGTTATCCAATGAGATTATGCATAAAAATCAGTTTCAAGAAGGGCATAGGTCGGGGCAGCTAGGTGGCGCAGTGGATAGAGCACCGGTCCTGAAGTCAGGAGGACCTGAGTCCAAATCTGGCCTCAGACCCAGCACTTGACACTTTACTAGCTGTGTGACCTTGGGCAAGTCACTTAACCCCAATTGCCTAAAAGCCAAAAAAAAAAAAGAAAAAAAAGAAAAAAGAAGGGCATAGGTAAATTAATAGAAGATGAATCTGCAAAGGTTTATGAAGAGGGAAGTTAAGGGTATTTCAATAATAGCCTAAGTCTTGGAGGGTGATATCAGAGGGGGTCTTCCACAGAAGCATCTTCTGTTACCACATTAGGGCACAGAATGCCAAGCTCGATAGGCCTGTCTTAACCTGGGATAGGCTTTCCTAGGCTGCTTGGAGATGTCCTTTCCACCAATGAGCCTCTCCTCCCATGAGCCTCTTCTCCCCTGTGGCTCTGACCAGGAGAATTTCACTGATAGCCAGGAATTCCCTGGCTCCACCCTCAAAGTCACCAGAATTTTGTTCTTCTCTTTTTCCTTTGTCACCTTCCTGGGAACTATTTATACTAGTCTTTATCAGTAGAGGCTACCATGAAATGCTGTGGCCTGAAAGAGACTTCAGATTATGTGAGGTGAACACTTGTCCTATTTACCCAACTGAGACAAGTTTAAAATTCAGTGGAGCACATGCTCAGAGCAAGTGATACTTGGAAACTTCAGAAAGAGGCAAAGGGTAGGCCTCATTTTGGGAGCTTTCTTACAGAATCATAAATTCAACCTAGCTCAATTAGTATTGATTAAGTACCCAGTAAGTGCCAGGCACAATTCAAGATTCTAGGGAGACATAGACAGGACAGTTCTTGCCTTCAGGAAGTTTATTTTCTACAAAGGTAATGCAACTTGTAAACAGATAAATACAACATAATTTGAGGAGAGAGAGGGAGAGGGAGAGAGGGAGGGAGAGAGACAGAGAGAAAAAGGAAGGGGAAAAGAGAGGGGAAGAGAGAAAAGGGAGAAAGGGAGGGGAAGAGAGAAAGGGGAGAAAGAGAGAAAGGGCGAGAGAAAAAAGGAGATAGGGAGAGAGGTGGGAGACAAAGGCAGAGACAGAGAGAGAGGCAGTGAGAGATGAAGAAAGGGAGGGGGAAAGAAAGGAAGAGAGTGGGGAGAGAGATAAAGAAGGGGGAGAGAGCAGGAGATAGGACAGGAGACATAGAGAGAAATAGAGAAGACAGAGAGAGATTGAGAGAAAAGGAGAGAGAGAGAGAGAGGAGAGAGAGAGAGAGAGAGAGAGAGAGAGAGAGAGAGAGAGAGAAGACAGAGAGACAGAGAGGAACAGGAACTAAGAAACAGCAGAATTAGGGGAGGTTTCACACAGGTGCCTCTAAGCTGAGGAGGCAGGGACAGTAACAACAAGTGGACCAGTCTGACTAGACTAGAGAAGGAAAGGAGGGTGATGGTCTCTGGGTCTAGAAGAGTCAACTGGGGAAAGCCAGCGAGGCACTTTACACAGCAAGCCCAGAAGCACTGCAGATCTTGGCAGTGGAAGAGAGCTTGAGATCACAGGCCCCTTGATCTAGAGCTGGCACAGCCCTCAGAGGCCATCTAGTCCAATCCTCTCATTTTACAGATGAGGAAACGGAGGCCCAGGGAGGGGAAAGGACTTGTCCAAGGTCACACATGTAGTATCAGAGGTGGGATTTAAACTCAAATGTCTTGATCTCTAAGGGGGAAGAGAACAAGCACTTATTAAGCACCTACTATGTGCCAGGCTCTGTGCTAAGCACTTTATATGTATGGTCTGATGCTGAGTGAAGTGAGCAGAACCAGGAGAACGTTGTACACAGTAATAGCCACGTTGTTTGATGACTAATATTGATTAACTTAACCTTTCCCAGCGATACAAGGATCTAAGACATCTCCAAAGGCCTCATGATGGAAAATGCTATCCACATCCAAAGAAAGAACTATGGAGTTTGAATGCAGATCAAAGCATACTATTTGCTCTTTTTTTTTCTTCTGTTGTGTTTTGTTTCCTCTTTCTTGTGGTTCCTCCTATTTGGTTCTAATTCTTCCTTACAACATCACTAATGTGAAAATATGTTTAATAGGAATGTATATATAGAACCTATATCAGATTGCATGCCATCTTGGGGAGGGAGATGGGGAGGGAGGGGGAGAAAAATTTAAAACTCAAAAGCTTATGGAAGTGACTGTTGAGAATTCAAAATGAATTAATAAAAAATAAATAAAAATAAGCACTTTACAAATATTATCGCATTTGATCCTCATAACAACTCTGTGAGAAAGGTCCCCATTTTACAGTCGAGGAAACTTTGGTAGACAGGAGGGATAATGACTTGCCCAGGGTCACACAGCTAGGGAATGTCTGAGGCTCCATTGGAACTCAGGTCTTCCTGCCTCTGCTGGGTGCCACCTGGATGTTCCCTCCACCCCCAGTCCCCCACCCCGCTTTCCCCCATACCACACTGACTCCAATCTAGATCCAATTAGACACCTAATCATGGTTTCCTGTTGCTACCTCTGCATGATGGCAGAATGAGCTCCAACAGCATTATTTTTGAGGACCTCTGTTTTTATTAATGCGCCTCCAATTCGCCCACACAATTCTTGAAATAAATTAGTCAAAGCGAAGCATTGAGTGACGTCCTGTGAGCTCTGGCTTTGTTATCTCTGGTTCCATGAGAACTATAGCCCTTTATGGGGAATTTCCTATCAAATCTATGTTTGGAACCTGCTGCGTCTCCAACGCATTCGAAAATTGCTTCCTTCATTAGAACGATAGTTCTAGTGCTGCCTGGGAGAGCAGAGGGGTATTTTACGTATTTTCCAGCACCCGCTTCCATGGAATTGCATCAGAAGTGGCAATTACCCTACTGCTGAGTTTCATGGGGTTGATTCACGTAGCGAGAAAGGTATTAGAGGTCCAACCCCCACATCTGGCAAGTGCTTACCAACCGTGTGACCTTGGGCAAGTCACTTCATGTCATGGTACCTCCATTTCCCCATCCAGAAAGCAGCAGATGTAATGATAATAAATGATAGCAGCTCACATTTATACGGACTTGTAATTCTGTCAAACACTTTCCATAAGTGGTCTCCTTTGATCCTGTGAAAGTGGTACTATTAATCTCCCCGTTTTGCAGATAAAACTGAGGCTCAAAGGTAAAGTGATTTTTCTAGGGTCTCAGAGCCAGCCTGAGGTAGAATTTGAACCCAGAGCATCCTGGAGTACGAGTCCAACCTCTATCCATCGGGCCATACTTCTTCTCTAAGGGAAGGGCAACTGACTTAGATGAGTTCCAAGTTCCCTCCCAACTCTTACAGCCTGTGATTCGTTCCTCTGTCTCCCTCAGGGCCTAGTATCATACATAGCAGTTTAACTCAGTAAACAGTGCAGGAGATCTAGCGCTGTTAATAATAATGCTCACATTTCTACAGCACCTACTGTGTGCCAGGCACTGTACCACGGCGCCTTACAATTATTATCTCATTTGAGCCTCACAACAACCCTGAGGGGTAGGTACCATTATCATTCCCATTTTACAGTTGAGGAAACTGAGGCAGAGAGAAGTGAAATGACTTGCCCACAGCTAGGAAGTGTCAGAGACTGGATCTGAACTCAGGTCTTCCTGACTCCAGGCCTGGCGCTCTATCCACTACACTATCTATCCAAATTGGCAGGGAGATTTATTTGGTTTATTGAAACATACTCTTAGCTTGAGATAGGAAAAAATAGCATTACAATGGTTCTGTTTTTCACCTGCTCTCTCCTATTCTCATTCAAACTGTCAACTCCAGAGAAAAGAGAGCCCAGCCTGGATATGTGGCTGTATTATTTCGGTTGTTTAAATGAGAAGCAGTAATGATCATAATAATGTAAGAGAAAAATCCCGTATGTTCCCAGCAGCCTTCTTTCTACCTGCAGGACTATACCTTAGGACCTGGGAGACCCGGGTGACCAATTTCTGCAACCCCAGGAGCTCCTTTGTCTCCATTTTGTCCAAGAAATCCTGGGGAGCCAGGCTGGCCAGCAACTCCAGGCATCCCTGGAGACCCTTCCACACCTTGGAGACCTGTTAAAATAGTTATTAATTGCAGTGTGCCCTTTATTAGCTGACACATGAAGATACCTGTAGCCACGGAAACCGAGGGGAAAGAGAGAGAAACAAAGAACTCTGCATTGAAAGCCTGGCAGGGGACAGCTGGGGCTGGTCCAGGCCCTGATGTATGGCAGGGGCAGGAGATACTTCCTCCCTCCTCCAATCTCCCAGGATCCAGCTGCCCACCCTGCCTGTCCCGGGCAGTGTGGGACACCTAGGATTAACTTCACAGGTGGAAGACCCTGGACCCTTACCTTAACCCATGAGTAAGCTGAGCCCTCTCCCTTCCCAGTCTCTCTCTTCCTCTGCCCTCCCTTTCCACCAAGCCCTGCCCTATCGGTAACAAACTCCATTTCATCTTTGATTTCTTTTCACGTTCCTTCCATCTCATGGCACTCACTGGAACCTAACTTTCACCTGAAGACACTTGGCATCATCCCTTTGGGTGACCGCTCTTCATCTCATACCTTCTGACACATGTGAGAGGGCAGGAGAAGTTGGCAGCTTCCCTGGCCCCACTGGCGCTTTTCAACCTTTCTTCATTCGGCAGCCCCAGACCACACTTACTACTGGTCACTCGTGGTCTTCTCCAACTCAACCCTTCTCCCCTTTGGACACCCTGATCTCTTGGGTCCTCAACCCCTTCAGTCCCTCTGCCCTCTATCTCACGGTGACCTTAAGCATGCTCAGGAGAGGGGATATGCTAACCACCAGCCCTGCCTGCTAAACTCCACATGTCCCAGGTCACACAGTCCCTAGTCATAATTCAGATGCTGAGAAGGGAAGGACTCACAGATTTCTGAATTTTTAAGTCTCAAGAATTCTGACAGTTTGTCTCTCAATTCCTGTTCAATGCCTCAATACCTTGGTCTCAATACCTCCTTTTGGCAATTAAAAAAAAACTACGTTACATTAGGCGAACAGCATCCTGGGGTTTCTTCTCACTCACCCGGAAATCCCATGTCTCCTATGCGTCCTTTTAATCCAGGAGGGCCTACTGGTCCTGGTCGCCCTGGAAGGCCTTGGTTTCCCTTGGGGCCTAGAGAAATCAATATGGTGGAGTTAAACGGCAATGTCAGTAATTAACTAGGCTCCTCATCTCAGAATGTGTCCAAGGTTAGGACAGTATGGGATGACAGCCATGGAGATCCTAATCCACATATGCCCCTGATGGCAGCCAAGAAGTACAGAAGTAAATGGAGAGCCAGTTAGTCAACAACATGTCAACCACTGTGCTAGGCCCTTGGAATATAAAGAAAGGCAAAAACGTGGTCCATGGAGCTCATATTCTAATGTGGAAGACAATTGGTAAATAATTACTTAGGGGTTCTTAAGCTCAGGTTAAAATTGCAGGGGGTCCCACCTTTATTTTTACAAACTTCTAACTGAAATTTAGCATTTCCTCCAATTATTTAAAAGTATAGCAGTGAGAAGGCGTCCACAGGCTTCCCCAGACTGCCCAAGAGGCCCTTGACACCAAAAGAGGTTAAGAACCCCTGAACTAGGCACGTATATAATATATACTGAGTAGCTGAAAGGCAACATGAGAGAGGAGGACATGGGGGGAGGGTCCATGGGGAGGGACTTTGTGGTGGGCTGCAGATGGGCTTTAAGCTGAGTTTTGGAGGAAGTCAGGGGCAAATGTAAGGAGGGACAGCCAGTGCAAAGGGTAGCAGGGTCAAAGGGTGGGGGGGGAGGGGTATGGCTTAACTTAAAGTGTGAGAAGACTAGAAAGGTAAGAAGGGGCCAGGTTATGAAGAGTTTTATATTCACAGCTACTCCTCACGCTAATGCAGCTTTATAAGTAAGAGTCCAAATTTCACCAAGCCTACTGTCCCTATGGATATTGCATTGGTAATAAAGCAAATTAAATCAGCAGCCTTTTTGAATCACAAAAGAGCCAATACATCTTTCCTTATGCAAGTGAGCAAAGATCTATTTCCAAAACTGGCTGAAAACTTTTTCCCCCTTTTTAAAAAATGAATTTTATTGCCATCCTTTGTCCTTCCATCACACACATTTCCCAACATATACCTCTCCCCTCTGCCTCCTAGAGAGCCATCCCCTAGTACATAGAATAAAAAAAAGGGGGGGGGGAACATTTTGGCCTGAGTAACCAACCAAGCCAAAAAATCTGACATTATATGCCAATGTTCCCCACCCACAGTCCCCCACCACTGCAAAGATAAGGAGGGAGGTAAATTCTCCTCTTTCTTCTTCGGGGCTGAGCTTAGGGTTATTATCATTTCTTAGCATTTGGTTTCAATTATCTTTGCTATCGTTCATTCTATTTCCATTGTTTATGTCATTGTGTATGTTATTTACTTGGTCCTGCTTTATCTTACTCTGCATTGGTTCACAGACATTTTCTCATGCTTCTCTGAATTTTCAATATTCTTTGTTTCTTGCCAAACATAATATCCCATCAATCAATGTACCCCAACTTGTTCTGGCTAAACACTTTTCACCCAAAAATTCAGCTCATCTGGTCCTTCCCAATGTATATCCTCAGATACTCCCATCCACCCCATTTGAAAGCTCAATCTGTTTTGAAAGGGTCCACTGTCCATTAGGGAATCGTGACGCATGAATGTAATGTGATATTTACTGTGCCGTAAGAAACAAGGCACAATAAGAATTCAGAGAAGCAGGAGAAGACTTATGTGAATTGATGCAGAGGGAAGTCAAGCAGAACCCAGAAAACACCATACACAATGACTACAATGGTGGAAACTGAATGTTGTGTAATTATGACTAGGCTTGGTCCCAGAGAAGAGATGAAAAAATGCCCCTCCCTTGCTTCTTTGAAGAGATGAGGAATTATGGGTAGGGAACACAGCATATACCATCAGATTTAACGTGTTGTTTGCTTTTGCAGAAATGATTTTTTTTCCCTCTTTCTTTTTGTTTCCTTGTTACAAGGGCTCACTTGGTAGGAACCACTATTTGAACTGTGAAGAGATGATAATTGAACCCCTGGGAGCTGATGAGGTCAACAGGTACAGAGAGTGAAGAGAAGAGGACACAGAAGATTCGAGAATTATAAAGTTAGGGATGGAAAGGATCTCAGAGGCCATCTATCTCAATCTCCTCATTTTACAAAGGAGGGGACTGAAGTCCAAGCGGGGGGGGGGGGCAGCGTGGAGAATGACTTGTTCAGGGTCACATAAGTCATTATGATAGAAGAGGGGGGTTGAATCCAGGTCTCTGACTTTGAATACAGGGCTCTTTCCCACTGTAGCACCAAGGGAGGAGGGACATTGTATGAAGGTTGATAACAAAAGATCTCCATTTTTAAAAATCTTTGTAAAGGGTTTAGAGGTGGATTTCACCATTCTGCAGCTGGGTTGACTATGGAAGGTGACTGACTGCAAAGCAGAGGCTTAGGGGGGATGCTGAGCTGAGTGCATAGGCTAGGCACAGTCCTGGGCATTCTGCCAGGGGCACTTTCCTAGGCACAAGCTGCCAGCTTGGGGAGCAGGTGAACAAAGGGGCACTATGCGGCTCTTCTTTACATGTCCCACTGAGGTAGCAGGCAGACTGGGGAGAAATAACTACCTAAGCATGTATGAGGCTTAGCAGATAGATAGCATGCAGCTGTTCTTTATTTTCACAGGTGCTATAGCAAAAGGAAATTGGCTAAAGTGGGAACCAAGTAGAGAGTCTATAAAGAAGAAAGAAAAACTTGTGAACACAGAGGGTTATTAACACGAGAGCAGGTATCCAAGGGAGGCTGCAAAACGGCCCTCCCTGGGCCAAGAGAGAGCATGCTGGGAAACAGAACCTGTGCCCATGCCTTGCACTCTTACCTCTGGGCCTGGAGTGATGATGATTTGAGAAAGGAGGTGGGGGGTGAGATTGGCAAAGCAGTGTCTGTTATTCCTGGCGCTCGAGCCAAGATCGGAGAACTAGAGGTGGAAGGGGGCTCACAGGCCAGCTAGTCCCCCCCCTTTTATTGAGGGGGAAACTGAGGCCCACAGAAGGGAAGTGACTAGTCTAAGATCATAGAATCAAAGATTTTGAGCTAGAAGGGATTCCTGAGCCCATATAGTCCAACCTTTTCATTTTAGAGAAAAGGAAACTCGGGTCCAGTGAGGTGGAATGACTTGGCCAGGGTCTCATAGGGTATAAATGAAAGAAGTGAGATTTGAACCCTCCCTGCCCTGGGAGTCTAGGGAGGGAAGACCTGCACCAGTCAGGATGCCATGACATAGGAGAGAGGGGCACAAATTCTATCTCCCAGGGTCCAGAGTTGGCTGCTGTTTTCATCCTTCCATCACCCTCAAGTCAGCCTTCCTGAGCACCATGGGGATGACAGGGTTTGAGCAGCTGCCGCCCTGGGTTTCAACCTTTCAGGCTTCCCTTAGGGAGCCCAGACCCCCTGGCAGTGTGGCTGCTGGGGATCAGCACTGTAGACATGTCCTAGATAATCGAGGAGAGATGGAGACGACAAGACAAGGAAGGAGGATCATGAGGCCCAGTCTGGTGGGTTGCAGAAGCCTGATTTCCCTCACCACTCTTCCTCTGCTCATCCCTGTTATATTCCATGACCCTGAGACAGGATCGCAGGCACTTCCTTCCCTTTTTGTTTCCATAAGCTGGTGATGCAAGTGGACTGGAGCTTCTTCCCACCAGCTCTGCAGATCTAAGAGGGCAAGTGGGAGGAGGTTGAGAAGATGAGATGGCTGCGTAGAAGTGTCTGACTGAATTCATTGCATTTGTAGCAGAAGATAGGACCGAAGGAAATAGATCAGCGGCACAAGAAGAATGATAGGGAAATGTACACAGGCGCAATTTCCCCAAACACCTAAGCTTCATTGTCCTTGACCTACCCTTGAAGAGACTACCTACTACAAAATTAGTGGTTCAAAAGAAAGGAGAAGATGGGGGGAAGGTATGGAGTCTACCAGCTGGTCATGCTGACCACAAAGGTAGCTGCTGCACTCAAACCAGTGGGGTCAAACCCAAAATATTTTTATTTTCAAATATCTTTATTTACTTATTATTATATTATTTACTATTTATTTTGTTTGTTTGTTTATTCATTTATTCATTCATTTGTTTGTTTATTTGTTTTGTTGATATTTCCCAATTACATTTGATTCTGGTTCAGGCCCTATTTGGGAGCCTCGCGGCCTGGGCCACACATTTGACACTTCTGACTCAGACTGACCTTTTTGGTGCAACCATTATCTAGGCAGTTGCTAGAGCCTCTACCTGTGGTAACAGCTAGGGCCAGGAGGAAATGCTGAGACCCAGATGTAAAGCAGATATGTAAACTGCCTACAGGGCCTTTGGGAGCTGGCCTTGCTGAAGAAAGGCAGCTCTGGAACCAAGATGGATTCTGGGATCCTGGAACTAGCCCTTTTCAAGAATCATCTTGCCTGGTGAGGAAAGAGGAGTACAAGCTCCCCAGCCACAACATTCTCTTCCTCCCAATTACTATTGGCTCCTGGTCCCTGAAAAGGCATTCCAAACACATAGCTCCTTCCCCCAGTTCTTTCCTCATCTGAGGAAAGTAGAAAGTTTCCGCTTTCCTGGCATTTTTACCTGATACAATGAAATGTGTGTTGCCATAGGGTGAAGTGCCTATAATGATAATGAATACAGAGGGTCATGAAAGAGGAGAGACCCCAAAGTTGAGCATGAGGGCTCAAGAACAGAAGAACTGTTCCTATTTTAGCATGTGCATGTTCTATTCAGGGGAGGGGAACATGTGACTCTCTAGGTCCTCAGGTGTGGCCCTTTGACTGAATCTAAACTTCACAGAACAAATCCTTTCATTATAGCCTAGAATTGAAAGCATGGATCAAAGAGGGCTCCCTTCTTGCCCAGCCCTTTCAGGCTGTATCCAGTGTATCAGTGGATTGAGAGCTGGGCTTGGAGTCAGGAAGACCTGAGTTCGAATCAAGCCTCAGGCACTTGCTGGCTGTATGACCCTGGGCAAGTCACTCAACTCTGTTTGCCTCAGTTTCCTCATCTGTAAATGATCTGGAGAAGGAAATGGTAAACTACTCAAGTATCTGTGTCCAAGAAAATCTCAAATGGAGTACAAAGAGTTGGACGTGACTGAAACAACTGAACAACAACTCACATCCTAAGAGTCGATGGACTCAAGATGAGATATATGTTTTTGGACATGGCCAATGTGGGAATTTGTTTTGCTTGGCTATGCATATTTATTACAAAGGTTTTGCTTTTCTTTTAAACTGGAAGTAGAATATAGAGAAAGTAAATGCTTGTTAATTAAAAAATAAAGGAAAATGAAAGGAAAAAAAGAGAAACCCACCAAGTACACATCATGTCTGCATTCATTGCCATGCATTTTTTTTTCACAATAGCCAATAAGCTATATGATCAAATATGTTAAATGTTTAAGTCTTGTGTGGGGGGGACGATCTTGACCAGAGGAGAGCCAAGACAGAGTAGAGGCTTCAGAGCTGCATATGGGCTGTAGACTTTATGCTTTGATAGTTTTATCCACGGAGTTTTTGACTTGCCTGTAGGTTCTGATTCCTTATCTTGGGGAATAAGTGGCAATTACTTTATACCTGGCACATAACTCCTTCGTTTTGAGGTTGTGGGGTTGCAGGGGTTTTTAGAAAGTAACTGTTCTGCCATCTTGTCAGTCACATGATCTGTTTTAATTTTTAGTAACATTCCATTTCATCTCCTAGATTAATTTCAGCGTGATCCCTTGCAGCTGTCAGCTTGGCAATGAGGGGAGCAGTTTAGTCGTTTACACAGCACGAGTACTCTCTCATGACCGGTAGAAATACTACAGTCTTTTAGGAAGGCTATCCCACACATGGGCCAGAGTAAATTTGATTAGACTACAAGGCTGGATGGTACCTGCAGGCAGAATGCCACCTGGTAAACAACTCAGATATTGCATCTCCTTGCTGGATAATTAATACAATGACACACTGCCTTTCTCTAGGTTTAAGGAAGTTGCCACATGATTTAAAGGCATCATGGAAAGGGCTACAAGGGTTGCAGATATCACATATAGAGATTATTTTTGAAATTAATTTTTTAAAATTAGCAAATCTCTATTTTCTTTTCCTCCCACACCCCACCCCATTGAAAAAGAAAATCCTTGTAATAATAGTCAACTCTAAGCAAATTTCTTTATTGACCACGTCCAAAAAAATTATGTCTCATTCTGTTCCCTGAGTCCATTACCTCCTTGTCAGGTAGCGGCTGACGTGTTTCATCATCAGGTCTTCTGGAATCACAGATGATCACTGCTTTGATCAGAATTCTTACAGCTTTCAAAGTTGTTTGTTTTGCACAGTGTTCTTACTATTCTAAAAACTGTTCTCCTAGTTCTGCTCATCTCATTCTTCAGTGGTTTATACAAGCCTTTAAGATTGTTCATTTTTATAATATTGATGTTATGGTATAAGTCGTTTTTCTGGTTTGCTCATTTTACTCAGTATCAGTTCATGCAAATCTTTCCATGTGTCTTTGGAAATTATCTTTTTCTTCACTTCTTACAGTACAATGGGATTCCATTACATCCATGTTCCACAATTTGTTCAGTCATTCCCCAGTTCGTGGGCATCCCCTTCGTTTCCAGCTTTCTGTCATCACAAAAAGAGCTGCTAGAAATATTTTGTACATATAGGACCTTTCTCTCTTTCTTTGATTTCCTTGGGGTGCAGGCCTAGCAGTGGTATTATTAGGCGAGAAGACACGCACTGTTTGGTAACTTTTCGTTTATAATTCCAAACTGTTTTCCAGAATGGTCCAGGGGTGGGGGACCTGTGGTCTCAAGGCCACATGTGAAATTTGTTCTGTGAAGTTTGGATTCAGTCAAAGGGCTGCACTTGTGGCCTAGAGGCTGCAGGTCCCCCACCACTGGTTTAGACCTACTCATGAGTCCGCCAACAGCAGAACTAAAATTCTTTTTCATCCAGATTTTGATTTTTTTATTTAAATATTTCCCCCATGAGACATTCCTCTCTCATAATGCCATGTACCCTACATCTAGGGATTCTCAGCTAGGAATTAAAAATAATGTTTTAGAATAATCTGACAGATATTTCCTTTCCAGTTGAAGTCGCCTTTCAGAGTGGGATCACCATATAAACATAGGTGTGTGAAGGGACATTACCCTAGCTTTCACTCTTCTGGGTTTCTGGAAGATAGACCTGATCAGCCAGGAGCATGGCTACTAGAAATTAGCACTGTGAAGGTGACTCAAATACAGGAGGCAAGGAGGAAGGATGAGGAGTCCCAAGAGTAGCCCCTATAGTGACTCGAATTGCCCTGGAGGAAGGGAAGGCTGGCTTCTCTCATTTCTCTCCCTCTGCTTTCTCCAGTCCACAATTCTGAGCCAGGGTTCCAGATACACCCCCTTCCCTAATCCTTTCCATGAACTGTGGGGTGCTTCAGGAATTCCCCCATACATCCTCCCTAAATACCTGAGATGACAAGGAGGAGGAAACTTAGGAAATGGTTTGAGGTGAAGAATTCCATATGAGAATATTTGGCCTACTTCCTTTCATTTTTTCCCCCTATGTCCTACAACCTATGGGCTCCCAGGATGGTAAGCATTTGAACATCTGGCCCAGGGGAGGGGCCCCAGTAGTTGTGGGTGTCACCGAGCTGCAGTGACAGACCTGGTGGGAAGTGGAACACTACCCTAGATCATGTATGATTCTGTGAATACATTCATGTAGAATTCTATAAAATACATCCAATGTCACATCTGAAAACATTTTGCTTCCATTGCCTTTCTGATGCTCTTCACATCCTGAGAGCCACAAAAAGAGGCAATAAACTCCAGTAAAATGTTCACAACAAGGTAGACCAAATGACACCATCTTTGGGCCAACAAGCAAAGCCATCTTTGATGGTTTCTAGCATCCAAGTCTAAGCATCATCATGCAGGTTCAATACTTTGTGGAAACTGTCTCCCCACTGTGGAAAAAGAACTGTATCTTTGCTGAAGTACCCCACTGTGGTACTCACCTGGTGGTCCAGGGGAACCAGGCTGCCCAACCAGTCCAGGTTGTCCTGGGTCTCCAGGAATACCTTGGGAGCCTTTGAGACCCAATGCTCCAGGAATGCCTTCCGAGAAGGAGGAGAAAAAAAAGAAAGTCAAGCTAAGGCCACAGGTCCATGACTAATGTCATCAATGCAAGTCACTGAACTTTAGAACTCTGAATGGAACAGAGGAAAAAGTTCTGTTCTGTCATGGGATGGACTGCTATCGAAGTAAAAATTACTATCCTACTCTAATCTCTCACATCCTACTTTATCCAACATCAAATAATGCCAAACACTTAATGGGGAGGGGAGCGGTAAGGAAAATGCCGAGACCTTGAGAACTGCCTAAGGTAATAGCCAGGATGGGTCAGTGGCTGGACCTGAACCCAGATCTTCCCGCCTCCAAGGCTGGCTCTTTCTCCACTAAGCCAGGTTGTAACTTGTGTTCAGTAAGTGGTAAACAGACTTTAATTATGCAGTTTTCCCCTTGCCCTTTTCTCAGGGGACTTCACCAAGGACTGTCGATCTTGCCAAGATCGAATTGCATTTAGCTGCACAGCCTCAGCAAAGGGATGCCCTGAAAGGCCAGATGGCAGAGCATTGCTGGACCAGGGCAGCCTCTTCCACTTGGCAGTCCACTCCCCTGCAAGTAAAAGGCTGGCAAAGGCCCGATAGCAGACATAGCGAGCTGGCAGGGAACTCACCCCGAGGAGGAAACTGAGGTCCGAGAAGGTGGTAAGAGCAGAATGAGGATTTGACCCCAGGGCCAGTGCCCATCCCACTGCGTTCAGAATTTCTCTCTCTGTTCCCACATGCTGGTTACTGTGTCAACTCTAATCTAAGTCACAGGAGCCTGGCACCTTATGTGTTTCTGCTCAGTCTGGAGGGGGGGGCCCTATAAAGTCTCCTGTCCTATCCTGTGATCTACTTGTGGGGCATGGGGGAGAGAAAAAACTGCCGAGAGAAGCTTCTCCCGAAAAAGGGTGTGAGGCAGCATTAGGGAGCGGCCAGAGCCATGGCTGAGGGCCACAAGTCAGAAGTCCTGGGTTCTAGAGTTCCTTCTGCAGCCTGTATGTGTGACCCTTCTTTGGACCTCAGCATGTGACTCTGTAAGATAACCGGCTTAGAGAGGGGGCCCTTTAGATGCTCCCTCCGTTGGTTCAAATCGAAACTGAACTCTTACCACCACCCAAATATAAGACATTCATTAGTGAACTGCCTCTTTATTATCTGGTAAACCCCTAGCCTCAAAAAGAATTCCCTTTACCCTTAAATTAAGAAGCAAATAGTTATCCCTTCCACATCTTGGGGCTTAGGGGTGTGGCACCCCCGCGATCTGGAAAATCCCTGTAAAATTTTTTTTGGCTTTTCCTTCGTACCAGAGAAGAATTCTGAATAATTATGGTATTAAAAGATAAAATATGTTGACATGATACGATACTATGCATATATTTTATGCATGTCTGAGTTTCTAAACTTTTTCTGTGTCGTTTGCTGGCCTTCATGTGAAACTCCCCCCAAATTCCCATTTAATTTCTTGTACTGACCCTTGATATATCCAAACGATGGGGAAAGTCACAATGTGGAAGGGACAACTTTATACAAAAGGAATAATGCACGTGCAAATACAAAAGCAAACTCCTGCCTCAGACACTTACTAGCAATGTAACCCTGGGAAAGTCACTTAACTGCGATTAGCCTCAGTTTCCTCATCTGTTAAAAGAAAATGGAGCTGACAACAGACAGCATCCACTCTCAGGGCTGTTGTGAGGATTGAATGATAGTAGAGAGGGTGTCCCAAAAGTCTTAATGCAGTTTTAAGCTAGTAAAGTTTAGAACTGCACTGAGACTTTTGGGACACCTTGTATGTAAACTGCTTTACAATCCTGAAAGTGCTATAGAAATGTTAGTTATTATCATTAAGACTGGAAGGGTATAAGCAGTGTTGTTATTGATATTTTATATATGTACATTGGCATTTTATATATATACATATATATATGTATATATATGTATATATACACACACACACACACATATATATAGGTACATATATATGTTACATAGAGTAACAGTTACTGGCATATTGTTATCAATATTTCTATGATGAAGTTCATTTTTTAAGATGTAAATCTTTTTCAGTGTGTATTATTTATAGTTTGTTTTGGAGGGGCTTTTGGACTAAACCTGTGATTCCACAGGTAGAGGGCACTCCCAGTGAGCAAACTCCTTCTAGCAATGTATGTCAGTATCTGCTCTATAGCACTAAGGGGGTTAAGGACTGGCCCAAGGTCACACTGCCTCACACTTGTATCAGGAGCAAAACTGGAACTCAGGCCTTCTTGACCCTGAAGAAAGTATAGGGCACTAACCCCTGCACCATACAGCCTCTCTATCTAAATGTATATTCATTATTGTAGAGTTGTTTTTCAGCCCTGTCCAACTCTTCGTGACTCCATTTGGGGTTTTCTTGGCAAAGATACTGGAGTAGTTTGCCATTTCCTTCTCCAGCTCATTTGACAGATGAGGAAACTGAGGCAAAGAGGGTTAAGTGACTTGCCCAGGTTATGTTCACCTGGTTTTAAATCAGTCATGAAATTCATCTTTTTTAACCTAACATAATCTAAACTCAAGGCCACTATAAACACTCTGGCCTAGCTGACTCCATTCCCTTACCTGGTGAGCCTGGTTCTCCCTTCTCCCCCTTTACTGTCTGACAGTTCGGATCCACTTGTCCAGGAGGGCCTGGAACACCAGGCTCGCCTTTTCCACCTTTTTGTCCTACAGGACCAGGAAATCCTGCCTGACCCGGCAAACCCTCCTCACCTAGAATAGACACAGAGACAAAGAAATACCTGGGATGTATTATTGTGCATACACACCCAGTATTTATTGTTATATATGTGTATGTACTGTCCACGGTACATGCATATGGACACACACTGTTCGTGGTCCCTACATATCCACATATCCACAAATATACATATACACATACATGTATCCACATATCCATATATGTACACACACATTGTTCTGGAGTGTTAGGGACTTGTGCACATCACCCAAAGTCCCTTGTGCCCCATCAGGCAGGCATACATGCTTTCTGTAAGGACCCCACAGAGGAGCTCTACACTGGTCATTCAGAATCTGGCTGCCCTTTCTCATCATGGCTCCTTTCGACTGGTGTCCTTGATTGGGGAGGGGGGTCAGAATACAGCCCAAGCTCTACCACCTATCTTAGGCTTTCCTGCAAAATGCCAGGGGATTGTTTCGTTTTCTGGAGGCCAGTTAGTCCAATACATTTTACAGATGGGGAAACTGAGGCCCAGGGAGGGGAAGAGACTTGTTGAAGGTCACACATAGGATCTAGATCTAGATCTGGAAAGATCCTCAGAGGTCAGCTAGAGCAACTCCATTTTACGAGGCCCAGAAAGGGTGACTTGCCCAAGTTGATCCAGGTAGTCAGTGTTATACATGAGACCTGAACCCAGATCCTCTGACTGCAAAAGCATGCCTACAACTTCTGGGCTTCTCATCTCCTCCAATTCCTTTGTATGCCTCCTTGCATTAGGTCATTTCCTGACACAGTCTCTTTACATGCTTATAGAATGCAAACTCTTTGAGGACAGAGAATGTTTCATTTCAGTCTTTTATTTCCAGCGTCTAGCCCAGGGCCTAGCCCAGTCTTCATTCGCACATCTGATTAACTGCCAAATCATAGGCTTTCTAACTACAACATCTTTCATATGCATCCCCTTCCCTCCATTCCCACAGCCAGCCCCCTGGCGCAGGCCCTCCCTCATTGACTCTCACTTGGACAATCACAAGAGTCTTCTAATCAGCCTTCCTGCCTCCAGTCTCCTCCACTCAGTCCCCAAAGTGATCCTCCTAAAGCCCAGGTCTGACCAAGAAGGGCCAGGGGCTCCCTATTGCCTCCAGGATCAAATACAAACTCAGCTAGCTGGCAATGTTCTTCACGGCCTTCTTCCTGCCTAATCTTCTGACACCATCCCCTCCTCTATACACTCTCCAGTCTAGCCACAGATGCCTGGAAAGCTGTCCCTCCTCATTTGTGTCTTGGAATCCTCAGCTTCCTTCATGACTCCCCCACATTTCTAGGAGGCCTTCTTCCCCCAGTGCTAATACTCCCCACCAACAAAATTCCCTTGGGTCTATTCTTTTTTTTATTATTATTATTAATTTATTATTATTTTATGTTTCATTATTTATTTATTTATTATTCTATTATTAATTTTTTATTAATTTATTTTGATCTATCAACAATCACTTCCATAAGCTTTTGAGTTTAAAATTTTTCTCCCCCTTCCTCCCCAAGACAGCTCGCAATCTGATATAGGCTATACATATACATTCCTATTAAACATATTTTCACATTAGTGATATTGTAAGTAAGAATTAGAACCAATAGGAGGAACCACCTTGGGTCTATTTTTGTATTACATATATATTGTCTCCCCCATTAGAATGGAAGCCCTTCGAGGGCAGGGGCTATTTTTGCATTTTCTTTCCATGTCCTGCACATAGCACAGTGCCTGGCAAACAGTAAGTGTCTAATAAGTACCAGCTCTCATCACCTTCCTCCTCCTCCACTTCTGGTTCCTTCAGGCTGCCCGGTCCCAATGGGGCTGAGGAGAAGTCCAAGCATGGGCTCAGTCCACTCAATGAAGCTCTCTTTAGGGTCTCTCTAGTGGCCCCCCACAGAGCCCAGCAGCGTGCCCCTCAGCTCAGCCTTATCTGGGACACTAGAAGTCTTTTCTCTCCGCTGCCCCTCGACTTGGGCTTCTAACTGTTCAATTATCAAAACATATTTGAATGACTCTTTAAAGCTAATGGGATTTGGCAATAACTTAGAGGGATAGATTTTCCAAATTACCACTGGAATTCACACAAATTAAGGAAGTGTCTTTATGGCAGCTTTGCAAAAGTCAATTTTGCAAAGATGAGGATAAATATGTGCCAGAAATTTTTAAATATTTAAAAAAATCATACTCTCCAGGCCCTAATTAGGCTGTAAAAGAAATTAAACCAGCAGCAATACATGAATACTCACCTTAAGTGAGTGGCTATTTCAAGCATTATGAAAGGCTGAAAATGCCAAACAGAGCAGCGGAGCTTGTATTTGCTGCTAGAGGCCAAAGGAAGCTGCCGGAATTTCTGTGACAGGGGAACATGTCAGAGCTGTGTTAGAGGAATAACACTTCAGTGTCGGGTAGACAGTGGAATGGAGGGAGGGCTTTGGAGGCTGAGAGGCCAATTAGGAGGTATAACCTAGAGAAGGGTGGTTATTATGTGAGTGGAGACAAGAAGGGTGGATTTGAGAGATGTTGGGGAGGGATAATGAAACTTGGTGAATGATCGGGAGTGAGGGGATGAGTGAGGATGAAGAGCATGACACCTTGGTTGGAAGCTGGGGTGACTGGGAACGCTGCTGTAGTGCCCTCAATGGAAATAGGGAAATCAGGAAGCAGCCTGGGGAGAGGGAGAAGATAATGAGGCCTGCTTCGGACATGTTGCATTTGAGATGCCGACAGGACATTTGGTTAAAAATGTCTACAAGGCAGTTAGTGGGGTGAGGCCGGAACTCGAGAGGGAGATGATGGCTGGATATGTAGATTAAGGCCGAGGACAGAGCCCTGTGGTATATGCATGCACAAAGAGTGAAATCTGAAAGATGCTGCAGCACAGGAGATGGAGAAGGAATGGCCAGAGAGATAGGAGAAGAACAGAGAGAGAGAGGGGGCAGCTAGGTGGCACAGTAGATACAGTACCAGCCCTGAAGTCAGGAGGAACTGAGTTCAAATCCAGACTCAGACCAAACACTTGACACTTACTAGCTGTGTGACCCTGGGCAAGTCACTTAACCCCAATTGCCTAAAAAAAAAAATTGGGGGCAGCTAGGTGGCACAGTGGATAGAACATTGGCCCTGAAGTCAGGAGGACCTGAGTTCAAATCAGGCCTCAGACCAAACACTTGACACTTACTAGCTGTGTGACCCTGGGCAAGTCACTTAACCCCAATTGCCTAAAAAAAAAACATTGGGGGCAGCTAGGTGGCACAGTGGATAGAACACTGGCCCTGAAGTCGGGAGGACCTGAGTTCAAATCAGGCCTCAGACCAAACACTTGACACTTACTAGCTGTGTGACCCTGGGCAAGTCACTTAACTCCAATTGCCTAAAAAAAAAACATTGGGGGCAGCTAGGTGGCACAGTGGATAGAACACTGGCCCTGAAGTCAGGAGGACCTGAGTTCAAATCAGGCCTCAGACCAAACACTTGACACTTACTAGCTGTGTGACCCTGGGCAAATCACTTAACCCCAACTGCCTTAAAAAAAAAAAAGAAAGAAAGAAAGAAAAAAGAATGGGGAGAGAGCCCTGTCAAGAAGACCCAGGTAGGAGATAGGACCCAGGAGGCATATGTGGTCAACAGCGTCAGATGCTACAGAAAGGGCAAGAAGGATGAGAATTGAGAAAAGGACATTAGATTAGGCAAATAAGCAAACAGTGATTATCACTATTTGTCCTTTGTTCTCGAAGAGAACCAACGACAACAGGGCTTGCAAGTGAACTAGATTTAAGTGAGGGAGGCCTGTGCAAAGGCATCAGCCTCACTGTCTCCTCCTAAGTCATCGGAGTCCAATGGCAAGACATAGGTCGAGAGAGAGAGAGAGAGAGAGAGAGAGAGAGAGAGAGAGAGAGAGAGAGAGAGAGAGAGAGAGCACTTTTGGGAGAGTGAGGAGATCAGAAGAGGATAGGAAGTGGCGTCAATGAGTAGGGACAAGTTTCTTGTAGGAGTTTGGCTGTAAGAGGTAGTAAAACTGTAGAGCATTTTGAGAGGGTGCCAGGTTTTTCAAGGATGAGGGACCACCTGGCAATGTTTGCAAGCAGTAGGAAAGGAGCCAGTGGATAAGGAGAGCTAGAAAATGAAGAGAAGACAGGAGATGGATGATAGAAGGGCTGAGTTCCTGGAGAAGATGGGAGCAGATGGGATGAAGGATAGGATTGGGGCCATGCCCCGAAGGATAACCTCTTCCTTAAAGCCTGGAGCAAAAGATGAAAAAGCGAGGGATGATGCTGAGGGGTTATGAAGGGTGGGATTGAGGAGAAGAAGGAGCTCACAACAGATGGCTGTGATTTTTTTTAATAATGTGTGCCTGCTTACAAGTGGCTCTAGGTATCAATGAGAAGGGGTATAACATTCGAGCCCTACATTTTATGACTTTAACCTAAAAATCCCATTTAAAAACATATGGGATCTACATTAATTTTGCAACAAAATGTTTGTGTCCAACAGAAATAGTTCATGTCGCTTAGAAAAGCATGTCAAGCAGATGCGCCCCCCCCTTATGTTGTCCAATGAAAATCTCTCTCATATTTCATTTTCGCAAGGGGAAGAGAACATGCCCTCTCACATAAAACATGCAGCCAAATGTTACCTTTCAAGCCAGGAATACCATTCCTTCCAGGAATTCCTAAAGGTCCCGGTGGTCCTGGAGGCCCCAACTTCCCCATTTCACCTTTGGCACCTAGAAGCAGTGAATCAGCAAAGTTATTCTAGACAAAACCTCAAAGAATGTCTGTGAGGGATTCTCACTTGCCTCTGACCAGAGAAAGACATAGCAGGAACATGGATTTAGAGGTGGAGGGAGGCTCAGAGACCATCTAGTCTGACCCCTTCCCTTCATTTCGCAGAGGAAGAAACACACAGATCTAGAAGGGACTTTGACGGCTAACTCACTCCTCATCTCACAAATGAGGAAACCAAGGCCCCAGAGAGACTTGCCTGGAGTCAAGGAGGTAGGAAATGACAGAGACATTGGAGATGCTCATTTTATTCCATGTGCTTGGGAGCCAAAAAGATTCCAGGATGTGGAATAAAATGGTCATCTCTACCACCTCTGTGATCTGGGCCTCAGTTTCCTTATGTGTATGTGAGAAGACTGGACTAGATGCCCCCTAATTTCTCTTCCAGTTCTAAACCTATAATCTTATTGTTATCTTGGATGAGTCTTTTCCCCTCTCCGGGCCTCAGTTTCCCCCTCTGTCAAATGAGGGGGTTGGCCTAGCTGGCTTCTGAGGTCCCTCCCAACTCTAGATCTATAAGCCTATGCGTGACCTTGGGCAAGTCACTTCCCCTCTCTGGGCCTCAGTTTCCCCCTCTGTAAAATGAGGGGGTTGTCCTAGTTGGCCTTGGAGATCCCTTCCAGCCCTAGGTCTGGGATCCTATTTCACACAGCAGTCCCATCCAACTCCCTAACGGTTCCTAAAGGATAGCCAGCCATATGTAACGCCACATGCTGAGTAAGACCAACCCACCTACATACTGTCAACGGTAACAATTCGCAGTAATCAGAAAGAAACATTTTTTAATTACCTGAAAGCCCAGGGGCACCATCTTGTCCCGGGGGCCCTGGGGAACCTTGAGGCCCCATGATACCAGGTGTTCCAGGAATGCCTCGAGGGCCTCTCTCACCAGGAGGCCCTGAGATATCAAACCCAGGGGGTCCTGGGTCTCCCTTTCCTCCTGGGGCTCCCGGCAAGCCTGGATGATATAATACACATATGATCAACCTCTGCTTTGCTCCGTCATTCGAAGACCCATGCTTACTTTCCAGCAAAGGACCTCTCCCAGCAAACCCTGACAGAACACTGCCCAGTGTAAACCCAGCCTGAAGGTAGCCACATTTGGGGATGTGGAAGGATAAAAATGATCTCAGAATCACCTATTTTCGATTTTTTCAAGACCATGTATAAGGTTACCATTTCTTTCTAGGACACATTACTATAAATCCCCAAGGAATTATGTGAGCAAAAAAGGTATAGGAAGCATGCATTCTTTTTTTGTAACATGAAGATTTTAGAGAAGAGTCACAGAGAGCATTAATGATTAGCAGTAGACAATGATCACAATAACGTAAAAGGGGGATGGGGAGGAAAAAACGGCAGAGTTCAGATCGATACAGTGACCAAGGGGACTCCAGAGGGCTCATGGGGAAGTGGGCCTCTCTCCTCAATTTGGATGCCAGCCCCTAGGCTGGATCAGGAAGTATGGCTTACCTGCAACTCTTTGTAACAAGGGACAGTTCTAATGGATGGGAACTAATTGGGAAGCAACAACGAGGTTTTTTAAAAAAACATCAATAAAGCATTTTGAAAAATTAAATTACTTCTGACTGCTATTATAATGATCCAACGTGTCCCTGGAAAAGAGTCAGGAAAAAAATGTACCTCCCTCCCTTCTTTCAAAAGGTGGGTGGAGGGCTACGTGTGGTGTATATTGCATATATATTTTAGGTATAGTTGATGTGCTGGGATTTTCTAAATTGCTTCTCCCCACCCCCACTTTTTATTCTTGGTTACAAGGGATGGCTCTCTGAGAAGGGAAAGGGATAGATTCAGAAAAGAAGGTGAGCCCAACCCAAAAGATAGCAAATAAGAATTTCGAAGAAAAAGAGTCAATTCATGGGATTCTAAACAGAGCTAGAAGGGACCCTTGAAGTGGAGCCCAACCCCCTGGGTTTACAGAGAGGGTAACTGAGGCCCAGGGAGCTGCCTAAAGTCCCCCAGGCAACAAGGAGGGTTAGGCCTGGGATTTCAACGCAGGTTTTCTGACTCCAAACCCTACGCCCTTTGGGGTAGGGTGAGGAACCACAGGATGGGGCCACAGAACGTCATCCCAACCTGACAAGACAACAGCATCTATTTCTATAGAAACCCAACTTGGTAAGATAAAAGACCAGGGTTCTGAGGCAAGTTACAAGCTCCTTCTGCCTCAGTTTCTTTGACTATAAAATGAGGGTGTTGGCTAAATGGTCCCTGACATTCCTTGTAGCCTGAGATCTGTAAACCTGTGATCCTAATCTTCCTTCTACCATTTACAAGCTGGGTCACCCTGAGCGAATCAGGACCTCTCTGAACAACAAGGCCCTCATCAATAAAATGGAGGTGCCCCTTTAGGCATCTGAAAGGGGTTTGGGCTGAAACATTTGAGCGAGAAAGAGGAGAAAAACTAGGGTTTAGAGGAATGTTCAATGCAATTCAGACTGGAACCTGTATGCAAGCACCACTACAACACCAAGCAGAGAGACTATTCTTTCTTGCTGTCTCTCTCTCCCTCTCCCTTTCCATCTCTCTCTCTCACTCCCCCCCATCCCTCTTCTCTTCCCCTTTTCTCTCTTTCTTCCCTCCCTCCCCGATCTCTCTTCCTACATCCCCATCCTTCTCCCCCCCTCCATCTCCATCCATCTCTTTCTCCCCTCCTCCCCACCTCCTCTCTCTCCCTTCTTTCTTCCCTCTCCCCCATCTCTCCCTCCATCTCCATCCTCCTCCTCTCCTTCTCTTCCCTCTACTCCTCTCTCTCTCCCCTTCTTTTTCCTCTGCTCCTCTTTCCATCTCTCTTCCCCCTTCTCTCCCTCCACCTCCATCCTCTCTTTCTTCCCTCTCCCCCATCTGTCTCTTCCCCCATTTCCATCCTCCTCTCTCCCTCTCTTCCCTCCTCTCCTCTCTTCTTCTCTTCCCATCTCCTGCCGTCTGTCTCTCCCCCCCTCCATCTCCATCCTCCTCTCCTTTTTCCTCTGCTCCTCTCTTTCCATCTTTCTTCCCCTTTCTCTCCCTCCACTTCCCCCTCTCTCTTTCTTCCCTCTCCCTCATCTGTCTCTTCCTCCATTTCCATTCTTCTCTCTCCCTCTCTTCCTTCCTCTCCTCTATTCTCCTTCTCTCTCTCTCCCCCATCTCCCGCTGTCTGTCTCTCCCTCCATCTCCATCCTCCTCTCTCTCCCCGCTGCCCCTGCCCCCCTTGCACTCTCCCCTCCTTCTCTCCCTCCTTTCGCTCCCCCGCCCTCCCCCCCCCACTGGTGCTGCTCCCTTCTAGCCAGTGCTCTGTATTTCAGCCTATATTGAAACACAAACCTTTCATTCAAATGAACCAGATGCTATTAACAAAATTTGAGTTTGGGGGAAAGCGATGCATTGGTGATAGTTACTGTTTCATCAGAAGGCCTAAAATGTGCTTGATGTTTTGTATACGTGCAACAGAAAAACATAAATGCAAAAAGAGAAATGGTAGCTCTCTGCACTAATGAACACCACTGAAACCCAGTGTAGATTATCTTTGACTGCTGAAATTACATTCAAAAACCGCTTTTTTCTAGCAATGTCAGAGCTGTCAATACCTCGAATAATGAATAAATGCAAATTGCCTGGACTATTGCATTAGCTTCCTAATTGGTCTCCACACCTCCCATGTCTCCCTTCTCCAGCCCATCCTCCACACAGCTGTCAAAGGGGCGCTCCTGAAGCACAGGTCCAGCTGTTGCAGTCCATCGCTGTCCCTAGTTAGCTCTGGCCTCTGTTTTGTACAAGAAGATGTCATAGGGCACTGGACTTAGAGTCAGGAAGATCTGGGTTCAAATCCTGTATCAGATACTTACTGTATGACCCTGGGCAAGTCACGTTTCTTCCCTAGACCTCAGTTTCCTCATCTGTAAAGTGAGGGGGTTGGATTAGCTAGTCTTTAAGACCCTTTTCAGCTCTGGAGCTATGATCCTACATTGTCTCCCCCTGTGAGGGAAGGGGGAAAGGGAATCAACATTTATTAAGCACCTGCTATGTGCCAGGCAGTATGCTAAGCCCCTTTTACAAACATTATCTTGTTTGATCCTCACAGCCACTCTGAGAAGTGGGTGTTGTTTTACATTTGAGGAAACTGAGGTAGACAGCAGTGAAGTGACTTGCCCAGGGACGCAAAGCTAGTAAATGTCTCAGGCTGGATTTGAACTCAGGTCTTCTTGACTTCGGGCTCATTGCTCCGTGCAAAGTGTCACCTAGCTGCCTCAGGTAGGCGCTTAATATTTGTTTGATTGATTGAAATAGGCTTCAAGTTAACAACTACACTAATAAATAAACAGAAGACAACAAATTAGGGGAAAATATCCTGGCTTGGTTCAAACTGGAAAGACTTCAATGAAAAGGCTTTCAAAAAAGAACAACAATTGTGATACATAAAGGCAATGGAATGCTATTGGACTGTAAAAAAAGCCAACCGCATCAGGAATTCAAAGAAATATGAGAATACTTGCACTGACAGATAGAGTGAAAGAGAATTAGGAGACTGCAAAAATACAAATGAAAGAAACACCATAAAGCAGCAGAACTCTGATGACCTACAATCACCAATCTCAGAGCTAGAAAATAAATGATGAAACACATATCCTTCCTCTCATGGGAGAAGGGGGGTACTATGGGTGCAGAAAGTGGTATACACTATTAGTCCCAGTCTCCTTGTCATTTGACTTGATTAACTGTTCCTTCATTAAAGGGAAGTACTGATAGAGGGTGGTATATTTGATATAAATATAAAAAGTCGTTAATAAAATATCTTATTTAAAACTTAAGAATAGAATAAAAAGTACTATTTTATATTTTTTTAACTTTAATAACACTAAGTATGCACTAAGACTTTAGGCATACTTTATATGTAGGGATCAATGTTAGGTTTTCTGTGATGCCCAGCTCACAATGTACTGACTCTTATTTACATAGTGTTTTTCAGGCATGTCCAACTCTTCATGACCTCATTTGGGGTTCTCTTGGCAGAGATACTGGAGTAGTTTGCCATTTCTTTCTCCAGCTCATTTTGCAGACGACGAAACTGAGGCAAACAGAGGTTAACTGACTTGCCCAGGGTCACACAGCTAGCATGTATCTGAGGCCACATTTGAACTCAAGTCCTCTTGGTTCCAGGTTCAGTTCTCCATCCACTGCCCATCTAGATTTAAGTTTTCCTCATAACAACCACATGTGGTAGATGGGGAAAGTATTAACCCCATTTCGTAGATGAGAATGTGTCAAAGCTTAGAGAGACTGTATAATTTGTCCAGAACCACGTGCTTAAGTCCCACAGAGATGATTTGAACCTTGATCTTCTGATTCCAGGTCCATCACTCATTTTAATACACCATCCTGCTATGGCTGCTTGGCAAGAAATGTATATAATAGGTTGAGGGAGAAGGTCTTTTGGAGGTTTAGTCTAGAGTGGTGGTCTCTAAAGTGAGGACAAGGAAGTCTCACCCTACAGTGGCTGTGATCTGATCTCGAGAAGTGTGTAATCAACCAAACGGAGGGTGGAAGGGTGCGTACCCTTCCCTTTGATTGCCAATCATGGGGCTTGTCTCTAACACAAAAGCACATCTATCCACCCTTATCCTCCTCCAACACCCCCCCACACTCTGCTCCCATCCTCCACCTCAAAAGCTCCCCATTTCCCCACTTCTGCACCAGGCATCACCCCTTCGGGCAGTTGTAACCTGGGTACAGAGCAGCAGCTGTGCAGGTACCATTGGGGAAATTACCAAGCTACCCCCCCTTGAACGGCAGATCATCCCTGCCAGAGGCCCCTCAGAGGGAAAACTCTAGTTCCAGTGCACTGATGGCGAGTCCCCTCCTACCCCTTTTCATTTTGACTGGGACAGAATGAGCCACACAAGATGAGCAGGCATAGATGGGTTGCAATATACTTCACAGTTCTAATTACCTCATCTTGCT